ATGAAATCCTGGCTACGGGCCTGCATCTCTTTCACCTGCGCTGTTCAGCATAATGGCCTGAATTAGACTCAATTCAACACTCCAGACTGCTACACAGTACCAGTGTACTCCTGAGCTTTCAGTCAGCTCCAGAGTATTCTCCCAAAGTGGGACAACATTTGCTTGAACCTTTTTTTTAWAAAAAAAATACTCATTTTGAGTTTGTGAACATCAGTGGATTTAAGACGAATCTGAGTTTTCTTATCCGTGTAACTCACTTTTAACTAATTCGTTATCTTGATCAGGATCTTGTTTGTGTTACTTGCTAAAAACAGAGGCATAGCAAGAGTTCATTGCAGAGAGATGGTCTAATAACATGTCTCAAATTAGATGTTCTCAGGCTAAGATGTAGAAGTGAGCAGCTGCTTACATTTATGACAACCTGAATTGTTGTTTTGTGACTATTTCATTGGAATTAAAGACAGCTCACAAAAATTATTTATCAGCTGATGGCATACCTCACTTAATTGTTTCCATTCCTTACATCTACAGAGTATGAAGGGAACTCAGTAGGGAAGGTCTGCGTCTTTCCTTTCATTTATAATGGGACGATATACAATACCTGCACCAATAAAAATAATTCTGATGGACAATTTTGGTGTGCTACAACCGGGAACTATGACAAGGACAAGCAGTGGAGCTACTGTGCTGATACAAGTAAGATACCTAGGACTTATTACATTAGGAACTGGTGCAAAGATATTACACAGTGCTGTCAAAAGGAGGTTGGTGCTAGACAAGTGTGAGTTAATGTCCAAGATCAATTTGTAATAGAGTTTTTGTCTGTTAAATTGATTCTAGAAAGCTCTTTCTAGCACAGGGTGAACTGTGGAAGGTTTGTTGTTATGTGCTTTCACATAATTTTGACCTATGGCAACCNGGTGCTAGACAAGTGTGAGTTAATGTCCACAGACAGAATTGGATCAAGATCAATTAGTAATAGTTTTTGACTGTTAAATTAATTCTAGAAAGCTCTTTCTAGCACAGGGTGGACTGTGGAAGGTTTGTTGTTATGTGCTTTCACAGAATTTTGACCTATGGCAATCCTATCAAAGGATTTCATGGCAAGATTTGTTCAAAAAAGTTTTAGCAATGCTTTCACTAGAGGCTGAGAAAGTGCAAGTTGCCCACAGTTCCCAGAGGTTTTCATGGCTGAGCAAGGATTTAGATCTCCAAACCTCTTCACTGTAGCAGGCTTAGGCTGAGGGGACCATATTAGGTTCCCAGGAAATTTTGGAGGGCAACAACATCAACTCTCACACAAAAGTTTAATAATTATTCCCTGCCCATGTCCTCAGTGTCTTTTAGGTCCAGTAGGAGCCTCTTTTTAAGGAAGTGAGCTGAAGTCATTTCTTCTTAATTTCATGTTTCAGCTAAATTGGCCAAGGGAATGTGGTGGAAATGCCCCTCTGCTCCAGGGGCATTTGGGGCAAAGAAGTTGGTTTTTGTTGTTGTTGTGTTGTACACCACCCTAGAAACATCTTGAAACATTTTGTCCCTCTCTGATCTATCACATTTGAGTGTGCCACAGCATGAATATGGATTCACAAAACGAAGAAAAGTGTCTTAACTGGAAATCAGCCTTGGGTCCTGACACAGACTGTCTCCAGAACCCATGTTGATAACACAGCGAGCCAACAAAATGAGGTCAAGGGAAAAGTTTTCATTCTAGAAAGAGAAACAGAGGCTAGAAATAGAAGGAGCGGAATATATTCTTCCACCAAGTTGTTGCAAGTTCATAATACATATAACAACTTTCTGCTTCCAGAGTTTACAATTCTTTATTTCTCAAAAACAAACCAACCAACCAACAAACAAAACAAAACAGAGAACACATTTTTCCTGGATGCTAGAAATGTTTTCCAGCAGAGATGTCTTAAGAATTCTTTTGAAAATCTCTCAGTCTCTAGTTCCTCTTTCACTCTTTTCTCTACCCTTTCTAGGACTAGGTCCAAACCAACCCTGTATTTTCCCTTTTACCTACAATGGAAAATCATACTGGTCTTGTATAGCAGATGGAGAATCCAGTGGGAAACCCTGGTGCTCTCTTACCAGCAACTACAATGAGGATCCCAGACGGATATACTGTAACTCCTCAGGTATGAATAACTGGAGACAGAAGGAATGAGGAATAGCTTGGAGTGATAGGTGCAGTTGGGTTCTGCAAAGGAAAAGATCAGGAAGACCACAGATATCTCACCCTCGGGAATAGATGAAAATGGGGCAGCAACCTACAGCAGCAAGGAGGTTCACAAGTAGAATACATTGACATTTTCTTTTTTTAAATATTTTATTATGTTATAAACACAAATCAATAAGCCAAATTCCAAGAGTTACACATATAAATCCTGAGTAATTCAACAAATATTAAAGACCTTATGCTAATTTACACTGGTGTTGATTACATTATCCCCACCTTCCCTCCCTCTCCCTCTCTCCCTCTCTCCCTCTCTCCCTCTCTCCCTCTCTCCCTCTCTCCCTCCCTCCTCAACCACAGAATATTTCTACTAATCTTGCAGATCCAGCCACTGGCAGCGTCTTTTTATTTTTTCTTTGATGTGATTGTTGGCTCCTCCATTTTTCACCCAGTTTAAGTAGACCTTCCATCTATTTGTAATGATCTTTTCTTTGTCCATTCTTGGTGCTTGCTTAGTCATAATTCC